GCCACTGACAAATCAAGTCACTGGCTCCATTTTTGAGTTTGCCAGTCCAATCAGCCACTCCTACTTTCTCACCCCACCACCACCATCTTAAAATCGTGTTGTTCCAGATTCTAAACTCTCTACCTGTTCAAACTCCCCGGCCTGCTCCTCCACTGCTTCCTGTGCCTTTCCTTACCATCACCTCGCCCCTTCCCTCACCTCATCTTCTCCTTTTCCCCATTCTAAAATCACATTCAAAGCCCTACTCAAAACCAGTTCAGGGTAAAAATGGGAAGCCCCCTACTTAGGCAAAGGGCTTCTTAGAAAGGAGAATTTACCTTCCTCCTCAGATACCAAAATTATGGAGCCGTATCTATGCTCAATGGGTCTTAGGGGAAAATTCCAAGCAAGTTGGTCTAAGGACTAGAAAATACAAAGGAAAATAGGAATTGTATACAGTGTGCCCTGGGCTATAACTGAAAGGGATGCCTAGAAGCAGTAGATCTTCCCAGTTTAAAATATTAAAGAGCAGCTTAATTTCTCACTTCAAGCATCAAAGGCATAATCAACTTTCCCCATTTTCACAGAAATTAGAGGCAAAGACTATGGGGTTAAGTTTTAGAAGTAATATCTAAGAGATTGTAGTCTATGTCTATCTGTAAATAATGCCATGCCCACCCATGAAATGAGATGGTGCTACTGATCCACTGTCACTTGAGCTCTCACTGCAATGGGGGCTCTTCCCAGTTAGAGTTGACTCAAACGGTTTTATCATATCCTTTTGCCACATTTTCCATACAATCTATTACACATTTGTTAATTTTTTTAGTATTTGTGCACTAATAACTCAATTTTAATTTGCAAGTAATAATAAATATTATTTTAAAAAAAGAGCATTTTAAAACGGCAATACGTGACACAATGAACTAACTCAAGAAGGTATCTGGACCTAGGTCCCTAGTGAACAGATGCTGGGGTAACAGAAGGATTTGAAGGTGCTTTGGAATTATCAAGAAAAACAGTTCAAACTTGGAAAGGCTTGACAAAGCCTAAAGAAACAGGTGCTCATAAAAGGGCTAGAACTCAATTGAAAAAGCAGAAATCTGATGCAAATTGAAACATAAATAAATGCAAAAAAAAGTGATATTGCTTTGGGGGAGTGAGGTCAGTGGGAGGGGTCTTTTACATATATCTTCTGTATATATCTAGGCCAAAAGTCAATAACAAATAAAACAAACAAAAGAAGAAACTCTTAGTTTTTTTTTTCCAGCAGAGGTACTGAGGATCAAACCCAGGACCTCGTGCATGCTAAGCATGCACTCTACCATTTGAGCTATACCCTTCCCCCCAAAAGAAATTCAATAAGCGTTCTTGCCTTTGAGAAGGTCTCTTCTATTTTTACATAAAAATATACAGAAACAAGAAGATAAAATCTAGTCAGGCTCAATCAAGTTCTCCAGAGATTTAAACCAACCTTCACTCCCCCACCCCCACCATTTGATAGATGCAAGAACTGAGGCCAAGAGAGATCAAACGACTTAGCTGCAGAGCCCAGACTGGAATCTAGGGCTCTTGATGTCTAGTCACTGGCTTTCTTCATTCTATCACACTGCCAGTAAGTTTATCTAAGGCTATGTAGAAACATGGAAAATGTCCAGACACCATGTTAAGCAGAAAAAAGTAGGGTACAAAATCAGAGGCAGTGTAGTGCTAGTCACACTTGAGTGAATCTCTGCTCTGTGCCTTACTAGTTCCATGACCTTAGGGTCAACCACTCCTAATCTCCAAAAGAATAGTGGTATTTATCTCATAGGATTGTTATGAGGCTAAATAGGGGAATGAATGTGAGAGTAATGTCTGTCACATAGAAATGTTTGATGTTAACCACTGTTATTATCGTAATTATACCATAAATTCAACTATGAACTGAACAAAGATTAGAAAATGATGTGCAAAGATGAAAATTGCAAAGGTAAGACAGGATTATAATTATGCATGGTTTTTTATTTTCTCTAATAATGCTGTATCATTTTCTAATAAGAAAAAAGGCATTTTTAAATAGGGACCTCAAACAAACCCATACTGGGACTTGAGTCTTAATCTGCTCTTTTCTCCAGAGGGACCTAAGTTTCACAGTTCCTAAGACTGCTGTGGCAACTGGTAGCGGAAAAAGTCAGGCTGTGGACAACAGCCTGAATCCCTTGGAAAATACAGGGAGAAATGTTCCAGAATCTAGAAGATTCTGTCTCAGATCTGACCCTGAGAGAACTTTACAGCTACCACTTGCATCAGATTCTTTCACTCACACATGCATGTATTAATTCACTCATCCAAACACCCTTTGAACCACTACTGTATACAAGGAACTGTGCTAGGAGCTTTTAAAGAATTAGACTGACCCTCTGGATGAATTGGGAACGATCTCCATTATATGTGAAAAAAGCAAGCTTCAGAACACTGTGTATAGAATGCTACCATTTGTATTAAAAATAGATATATAAATATACATATTTATAAACTTGTAAATGCATAGAATTGCTCAGAAAGGATACATAAGGTATAAGTAACAGTGATTAATTCTGGAGAGGGGGACTGGGGAACTGAAGGCTGACCTCCACTGGGAAGCTTACTTTTCATTGTATTCTCTTTTGTATTGTTTGGATCTCTTATCTAAGTGTATATTCATTTAAAAATTTTCTTGTCTTAAACAAGTAAAAGAAAGTATGCCCAGAGCTGAATTTACAGTGGTGGCCAGAACAGGCAGGGAGGTTCCCCAGTCTGGGGGAAGGCAAAGTGTGTTGAACTTGCTGAGCCACAGCTGTTAACGTTTTCAAAAAACCAGACTGTTTACATAAGTTAAGGGAAGAGTTCATTCTACACCAATTAGCTTATAGTAACTCGGCATATTATTTTACAGAGATAAAGCAGTTGGAAAATAAATATTAGTCATTTGTCAAGACTTAGAGTGTATTAAGTTGTAGTTTCTACAAGGGTGGGGAATCTTATCTGTTTAACTTGATCAGTAGAGCATTCACTCCAGCAGGTAAGTGCTTGTTACAGCAAGCATTTTCTGATAACACAACTATTTAAAAATATCTTTTAAAAAAATCAGAAGATATTGGACCCTGAGGGAACCATGTTCCCTGTGAGGGTTGGGCCATCTGTTCTAGAATAGCCCCCCAAATGGTCTTCAAATGGCAAGATAAATCCCAATGAGAATGAAAGGTCATAGAGACACTGCATGTGCTTCGGAACGGCGCAAGTGACTGTGATGCACAGGGCCCTCCTTGGGGTGACAAGGCACAGACTGACTCCAAAGAGAACCTGGCACTCAGTGGGGCACCCCAACCACAGGGGAGGTAGGAAAGCAGATGTCTGGATGGCTGCAAACCTCCGACAAGCTGGCAGCCAGCCACAGCAGCCGGGACATTAAGGCAACACAGTGGTTGACATCATGGGCTTTAGAACCAGATAGGCTTGACTTACAGGTCATTAAGCAAGCTGTTTAACCTCTCTGAGCCTTGGTTTTCTTTTCTGTAAAATGGAAGATAACTGTGAGATCACTGGAAAGCATTTTTAGCAAGATGTTGTTGTCACTATTACTAATAGTGGAGAGGTGCCCCAGACCAGTCATAACTGACCATCAGCATCCAAGCCTAAACAGAGGGTGAGGTGTGCTCCACTTTCCATGTCTGAAGTCAAGAATCCCTCACGTTGATACTGTTTCATAAATTAGAAAATGCTTCCACACTCATCATCTCACAAAAGCCTCTGAAGCAAGTTGGGTAGGAATTACTAGGTCTATCTTGAAGGGAAGGGGCCAGTGAAGTTAGGGGGCTTGTTAAGAGCTGGTTGAGGGCAGAACCCAGGCTATTACCCAGGTTTCTTGGTGAGTGGCTCAGCATCCTGTCTTTCCACTCCACGCCATTCCCAGGAAGGAGAGGGCTTTGGAGTCAGGACAGGTCAAATCTGTGACTTCACCACCTCCTCTCCCCCAGCACCAGCTACCAGCCTCTTCTATAATCTATCTGTTCCTGCAAATGGCCCCAGGTGCAGGGTGGGCACCCTGCAACTGTAATTAGGAAGCGATGACAGCTAAGCTGGGGCTAGCTCTGGCTCTGGAGGGAGCCAGAATCGGGTTTGTCCTTGCTGCTGCTCAGGAAGCAGGGACACAGTGGCCTTGCCAGGTATGGCATGCATTAAAAAGCATTTTCTCTCTGAAACGGAAACAAGCACTAACCTTTTCCACTGCCATTAGCATTTCCACTACAAATGTGGCATCTGAGAGGAAGAAAATGTATTTTTTTCAATTGTGAAAAGGTCAGGCATATTTATTTGACTTAATAATTTATAATTGATATTCAATGCCTTCCTTGAAAGCACATCTAAGAAATCAGTCAGCACCCGCTTCCCTTTGCTGCACTAGATCCTGCCAGGCCCAGACTCACATCCCCTCCATGCAGGGCTGCAGCAGCCGCTTGGGGCACAGGTCAGAGGACACCTCCACACAGCCGGCTCCTTGTGCTTGGTCAGGTCCTAACTCTGTCATCAGTGAAACGGCAGCCCAGCCTCCCATGTCTAATCCCAGTGCTGCCACACCTGAGTTCCCTGTGGCAGTAGCAACACCAAGGCCTCCTGAACAGAGCAATTGCAGAATCCCCCACTCCCCTCCTCCTCTCCCCACTAGTAAAGGGTTCTCTTAGTTTGAAAAGCCATTTGTAGGAAAGATGGAGGTACCCAGAAAAATTTCAGTAGGCCCTAAAAACCAAGGGAGACTTTGGAGATGACTCTTGATGGGCATTAAGACCCTCCCCTCACCCTTTCAGGTCCCTAGGGAACCTAGAAGTACTGAGCTCCTGGTTTCCTAGCCACAGCTCCAGAATCTAGAGAGGACCTTCTGGGACAGCAGGGAACACTGTTCTCCCTCAGAGGTGGGACAGTGAGGGAAGTCTGGGAGAGACCCTTGAATGGATCAGGGTAGGGCCAGGCTCACCTGAAGAGGAATACAAGAGCCTACCTGCTGTGGTAAGAAGATTTTTTTTATTTGAAATATAGTCTGAGCAACATGAGTGTAGCCAAGAAGAGGAGGGGCTGGCCTGCCTGGGGCAGCAGCCTCTCTAATGGCACAGGAGCAAGAGTACAAATATTCCAACGTCTGTGTGCCCCAAACCCCGCTTGTCAGGAAAGGCAGAGCCGCGGCAGAACAAGGACGCACAGCTCCTTCTGCAGGGCCTGCCTCTCGGTGCCTGCCTGCCTTGGCAGCGTTTCCTGCTCTCCCGGGTTCCAAACAGAGGTGTGCTGCACAAGTCTCTCCCACCCACACGGACGGGATGAGCCAGTGTGACAAATCTCCGGACTATTTGGGGGGAAGGAGTCAGAGAAGACAGGAAAGAAGGGCAAGGTGACCAAGGGCCCTCTGCAAGCCAGGCTGGGCGAGCTCTCCAAGAGGGGCTGCGCCGGCACCCTCATCCCCCTTCTCAGGCTCGGATGGCAAGAAGGAGAGCTGCTGTCTGTAGGCCGAGGCCCCTGGCTGAAGGCAGCGAGCGGGGAACCTCTCAGAAGAGCACAGCGGCTGAGGGGTTTCGAGCCGAGTGGACAGTATCGGCGTTGGGCCACTTAAGCAGCCTGGGGTTGGAAGGACACAGACAAGATTGGGGTACCAAGAAGCAGCCAGCACAAAGCCATAAATAACAGAAGCAAATTCAGAGCTGTGAGGGTCCTGGGCGACCCCGCATCTCCTGGGGCTGGGGACTCCCAGCCCCCCGCAGCTCAGGGCAGACACTGCTCCAGGGCACAGCGGGCCACACTCTCACCGGGGCGGAGCCTTCTCCTTCCCACTGTCCACATGGCAGGCGGAGTACACCACGGCACCACCCCAACTGAGCACACCGCAAAGCCTCCGGTCACACCTGCGGGGACGGTGTGTGGCTGTCCTGGTCCTGAGGGGCCTGTGGTTGACTCTGAGCATCCTGGGCACCGTCTTCATCAGGAGCCAGGCCCAGGGATCTCCTCGCCTCTGGGTCGCCCAACAGAGGCTCCCCGGCACATTCCTCCAGTCCGTTCTCCCTAGTCTCCATGGGCACCTCCTCCCCGGAGCCCTCCTCTGGCTCTGCCGCCTCCACCTCTTCCTCCTCCTGGTCTCTCACCTTGTGGACGATGAAGAGGTGGCGGCTGAGGGAGCTGGCAGAGGTGTAGCACAAGCCACAGAGGAGACACTGGGCTGTGGAGCTGTCCTTTTGATGCTGAGGTATGTGGCTCTGAAACTCGAGCCCCGAGTCTGTGGCAAAGCTACATTTTGCACACTGGAAAAGGGACTTGTGCCTTTTGGTGGAAGAGACAGTCGCGCCATTACTGGTGCCTGGAGCGTCCCCCGCTCCGCTGACTGGTCTTTTCAGATGGTTCACCTGAAAGGGAAACAGTGTGAGCAGAGTCCAGGCCAAGCCTGAGCCCTAGACATGAGCCCTCAGTCATGATCAGTGCAGCCCAAGGACTCGCAGAATCACCACCGAGGCCAGGGTCACCCCAGCCCTGAATGCTGGCTTAGGTTTGGTTTGTTTCTTTGCCTTTTTATTTTATTTTTTTAATGTAACATACACCTGTGGCATAACATTCCAAAGATACGGGAAGGATATAGAGAAGATTAAGTCCCTCCTACCCACCTCCCCAGCCCTGCTCTCCAGTGAACACCGTATTACCTGGGTTCTGTGGCTCCCTCAAGAGATATTCTATGCATATACAAAACTTAAACTATTGTCTTTTACAAAATGATAGCATTACACGCACAGTTTTCTTCACTCTGCTTTTTTCACTTAACACACTGGCACTTGTCTCCATGAGAGCATATCCAGAGGCTTTTCTCCTAAGGGCAGCACAGTAACCCAACATGGGGATCAACAGTCCCCTGGCGGACATTCAGTGGAGTTCCTTCTTTGTTACTGCACACAGTGCTGCAGTGAACATCCTTAAACACATCTCTTTATGCCCAAGGCCAAAGATATCTGACAGATGAATCTTAGAAGTGGAAATGCTAGATCAAAGGGTGTATGCATTTGGTGGGGAAGAGAGGGTGTGTATTTTAATCAGAGACAGATGTTGCCAAAATGTCAGTCGACACCCCACCTGCTGTGTGTGAAAGGGCCTTTGCAGACCAGCGCCCTTCTCTGAATAATGAAGAACACCCTGAAACTCCAGGCTGTTCTCAGAGTTTCCCAGATATGCCTGGCCCTCTGAGGGGCAGCCCCTCAACAATGGAGTGGGAAGAGCCTACAGTGAGGAGGGACACCAGGCTGCTCCAGAAAATTATTAGAAATACGAACACCCAGGAAGGGGTCACAGTGACAGGAAACAGCAGGAAAAAGAGGTTGATGGGCTGCCTCATGGCTCTTTGGCCCTGCCCTTTACATGTGTGCAGTCCCCAGGCAGGTCACACAGAGCTAGAGGGTGACCTGCCTTGAGGAAAGCTGTCACTGCTGGATGCTCCATGGCCACAATGACAGATGGGCTTCCTGTAGCCTTCCCAGTGCCCCTGCAGCCCCAGGCCTCACTGAGCAAGCTGTGCCAGTGGGCAGGGGCCCCACACTCACCTGAGGGGAATGTCCACCCGAAGGTCTGACTTTGGACGTCTGGCTCAAATCAGGGTTTCTGATACCATGCATAAGGCTGATGTGGCTCTCCAGGAGGGAGGGCCGAGGAAAGCTGGGGCTGTCCTCTGTGCAATACCTGCAAAAGTACAGCCAGAGGAGGTCATATAAGATGACAGGCCCCAGGGCCCAGCAGGACCACGCAGGCCAGGCAGGCAGACAGAAGGGGAGGTGCTCCCGGCTCTAGGGGAGAGAGTATGAGCCAGCAGGGTGGTCCTCAGGCTGGCTGGGCAGTGCTGGGTGCCCCTAGAGAAATCTAGCCGGCAAGCCAGCCAAGGTAGCAGACAACAGAAGTCAGAATATTGATACTGGCCTTAAGCTATGGTTTTACTCCCCACTCCCTGATATCACCATCCAGAGAGCCGAGTGCTGGGCTAGTGGTCAGCCTGAAAGAGTGGCCTGTCCTGTCCAGTAGCTCACACGGATGGTGTTGAGGCTTCTCGGTCAGAGGGCACAGGCTCATATCACCACCACGCCTCTCACTGGCAGTGCAGCCTGGAGTTAGGGAGTTGGGAAGGGGAGGGCGCAAGAGCCATCAAGAAACTCATTTCTGCATGCTCTGATTTCTGTCCTGGCCAAAGCATTTTTCCATTAGAAATTTGCTTATCTCTTGCCTGTGAGCCCTGATCTCACAGCAGAGAAAAGCCCCAGTGGTACCATGGGAAAGTCTTATTAAATTTCAGGCTTTCTGGCTCCCACCTCTAGGGACTCACCCACAAGTGTAGACTTTCTTCACTGTGTCATGGTTGTTGCGGATGTGTTTGCGGAGGCTGTTGGGGGTGTGGAAGGACTGTTCACACTGCCGACACGGGTACCTCTTCAATGTCTATGGGAGATGACAGGATGCAAAGTGTCAGAACCATATGACAGTTTTGGGTGCATCTTTCTTCTTAGATGACATAGGCAGAAAGGAGGATGCCCTAAAACATCAAGATTTGCGACATCCACGTTGTCCAAAGCACCAGGAACCCTAGGGGGTTGTCCACAAAAGACAGCTCTGACCCCACAGCACAGAAGTCCAGAGAATCTGGGGCTGCACTGTGTCCATGTGACTACACTTACCCGACCATGGCTCTTTTTCATATGGGACACGTAGCTCTCCCGATCAGGAACCCACTCCTGGCACTCCTGGCAGGTCCAGCCAGTGTTCCTCAGTCGGGGCCTGGCCTCACCCCTGCGATGGGCCTCAGGCCTGCCCCATCGGCTAGAGGGCAGGGAGCTGCCCCGAGCAGCCACACTAGTGGCTGGGGGCTCAGTGGGAACTCGAGAACCTGGGCGACTTGAGGACGTGTCCGCTGAAGACTGGAGACTTGATAGCTCGTCCACGTTTCGCGGAACACCGTGGGTGCTCTGGGGATGGGGAGAGCGATTACTGACTGGGCAAGGGGAAAGATGCACAAAGTCAGACCCCCGGCCTGAGGCATATGCCCTTCTCCCCAGCCTCCTTCCCCAAGGCGCCCCACCTTGACATGTTGCATCAACTCTGGCTTCTGCAGGAACAAGAGCGGGCACTCAGGGCACTTGAAGACGCCCACTTGCGTCTTGCTGGCATTCTGGTAAAAATGCTGCTGAATATGCCTCTTCTTGTTGAAGACCATTTCACAGGAGCACTTATAAATGAGCCTGATGAGATAAGCCCCAAAGTGTGAGGTAACCAAGGCTCTGTTGGCAGAACCACATGGCCCCTCCATCCTATCTCTGATCACTCTGAACCAGGGTCAGGCTCGGGAAAGCACTACTCTGAGCCAAGGTGGATACTCTTCAGTGGACTCCAGGCATCTCTGCCACTAGCCCAGGCTCCCCAGCCCATCCCAATGCTCCCCATACAGCACCCAGGCTAATCAGCTACACCCCACAGGCCTGCTGGCCATGGAGCTGCACTCACTGGGAGGGTCTGTGGGGCTGAGTGGGATGCTGGGTGGTGCTGTGGTCCGCAGTGCTACTGGCAGTCTTGAAGGCCATGGGGCAGAATGCACATTTGTGGAAAACCTGGCAGTGTCGCTCTTGGATGTGGCTTTTCAGCAAGGCCAAGGTCAAGTGGACGACCCCGCAGTGGATGCACCTGGATGACAGAGGTGGGGCAGGGGGTGCAGGGAGGAAGTATGCATGTCAGACCCAAAAGTAGTGTTGGAAAAGGAGAGATGGAAGACAGGAACAGAGCCATCTTCCTCTTCCTCTCAGTCTTCCATTCTCCACACCTACAACCCAAGAACTTACTTGCTGCCATGTGGCACAATGCAGTCATGGGGGTTCCCCAAGCCTAAGACCACATCTGGTAGAAAAGTGGAGTGAAAGCTTCCTCTCCTCTCACTGGTTGGAGAATATTCTGCAAACCAAAAACCTGAGCCTAGCCAAGAGAAGTTGATAGGAGTGGAGAGGGAGGGAAATGGTTCAAAAATGACATAAACGGTATCTAGTTAAGTGTGATACAACTGCAGGTGTCCGAGAGGAATTTCAGAAGGAGACTGTAGAAAGCCTGTGCCTTCACACAAGCTGGTACTGAATAGGCAGGGACTGCCACTTAATAAAATGTACAGTTAAAAAATGCTATGCTCGTCATAAACTACATTAAAAAAAAAAAAACAGCCCTAAAAGCCTAGGAAGAAATGTTTAGAGCAGCACTGTCCAATGGAACTTGCCGTGATGATGGAAATGTTCTATACTGTACTGTCCATGTGACTATTTAAATTTAAATTAATAGAATAAAATGGCCAGTTGCACTGGCTACAGTTCAAGTGCTCAACAGCCACATGTGCCTGATACCATTCTGGAATGTGTAGCTCATAAGTATTCTAGTGTCTCCTTGGTGGGACTATGGATAACTTTTTAATTTCCTTTTTCCCTACCAATTTGTATTTTCTGAGTTTTGTTTACTGAACATCTGAACATACCATTTTTATAATGTATGAACTGTCTTAAATCATTTTTCCAAAATTGAGGCCATGTTGGGCTCTTCTTTCAACTTTGAAATATCTCTATAAATATTGCATTTCCTTTCTTTAGTATCAGAGAATAATGTGACCTTTTTCCAGGCCAACCTGCATTCATCCAGGTTCCTAGACCCTCATGTGTTTAGTCTTTACCCTGCCTATAAACACACACAGGTCTTCCCAGGTGAGAAAACACCCTCCCTGCTCCCAGCTATTCCTCTTGAGGTAACATTTATCTTCCTTTTGTTGTAGTACTGCTTGCTCCTATAACCTTGACATCCCAGTAGGCACCAGAAGAGAGGCTATTTCTTTACTGAAAGAAAGGACATCCCTTCACTTAAGAATTCTTTGACTCCCAAATATAACCCTTCATTTCAATATATTAACCCATTTTTCACAACCCATACAAATCAGCACAGAATCTTGACCAACCCTTTTTGGTTTTCTGCTTTTTATGTGTGTTGGGGGTAGGGGGTGGGTTGGTAAGAACCATCTTGTGCAAACTCAGTTAGCAATGAGAAGTCCACAGAACCAGAAAGCTGTTTGCAACTAATGCCAATGAGCATTCATTACCGAATGTGTGTACGTGTGTTAAAGTTTCTATACAAACTACTTACATTTAATTATATTTTCTTTTCTCTCCTGCTAAACAAAATAGATACCAACTTCTAGCATATGAAGTACTTCCACACCACAGGGTATTATGAGGAGAAAAAAAAATCCACATGTTTCCAAATTCATCCAAAGTGGCCAAGTATACCTGATGTGTGGAAAGAATCTCTTAAGTGGATTTATTTGTGCAGTTTGACCAAATTCCTACAGGAACAATATAAATGCAACTGGAAATCCATTCTATTTACCCAGTAGACATTCTTGGAAGAAACCTCATGGAAAGTAAGAACACAAAGGGGTAAAAGAACACATGCCAAGTAGCCTCAGTGAAAGACTGAATCAAGCAGGGTTTACAAACTGATGAAAAAACGTCAGAAGAGAAATCCAACCCTATGACAAAATCCTTTACCAACTACTTAAGAGAAAAAGAGAAATCAGAGAACCATAAGCCATAAAGTATATAAAGTTTTAAAAAAGATAAAGAGCAGTAAAATATTTAGCTTTGTCAATAATCACAAATTATAAGAAAACAACATATTATTAAAAACAGTCTAAATTTGCTCCCTTATGTCATCATTTGTCACTCTCCAAAGAGCAGAATATAAAATTCTAAAAATATAATATTGTAAAACTCCATAGTAGAGTACAATGAAATGGAACATAGGTACCTTCTGAAAATTTATTTTAAAATATTAATACCCACAGAATGGGAGAAAATGTTTGCAAATCATATAACTAACAGAGGATTTGTATCCAGAATATATAAAGAACTTTTACGACTCAACAAAAAATGACAAATAACACAATTTTTAAATGGGTGAAAGATCTCAACAGATATTTCTCAAAAAAAAAAATAATATATATATATACACACACACACAAATGGCCAATAAGCACAGGAAGATATACTTGACATTATTATCTATCAGGGAAATGCAAATCAAAACCATAATGAGGTATCACTTTACACCCACTATGATGGCTATAATCAAAAGTCAGACAAAAACAAATGTTGGCAAGGATGTAAAGAAATCAAAACTCTCACACAGTACTGGCAGGAATATAAATACAGCATAGCCATTTTGGAAAACAGTTCCTCAATTTGACTCAGCTAATTTCCTCCTAGGTATATATTTAAAAGAACTGAAAACATATGTCACACAATAACTTGTACATGAATATTCATTAGCAACATTATTCATAACAGCCAAAGGGTAGAAACACCCAAATGTCGATCAACTGATGAATGGATAAACAAAATATGGTACATCCATACAACAGAATATCATTCAGCCATAAAAAGGAATGAAATACTAATATATGCTACCACATGGATGAATCTTGAAAACACTATGCTCAGATCACATAGAATATGATTCCATTTATATGATATGTTCGGAAGAGTCAAATCTATGAGATAGAAAGTAAATTGGTAGTTGCTTAGGGCTGGGTGCTGGGAGGGCTGTTAATATAGGGCTTCTTTTTGGGTGATGAAAATACTCTAAAATTGATTGTGGTAACTGACTGTACAACTCTGGGAATATAGTAAAACTCAATGGGTTTTTATGACACTTTAAATGGGTTAATAGTATGGTACTTGAATTACATCTGAATAAAGCTGTTGTAAAAATATATATATTATTAGTTAAAATTTTAAGTATAATGGACACTGTATTAGTGTGCATATCTTCTGAATTCAACCATTGATTATTGAAGATTTTAATGTTAATATCTTCAGTAATCCCTCTAGCTGAATCATAATAATTTTTTGTCTGAAATTTCTTACAAAAAGGCTTGATAAACTAAATTCTTTTTCAGACATTAGGTTTCTTTTTCCTCTTGCAGAAGAAAGTAAAACGTTTAATTGAAAGACACAAAATGCTATTAATTTATCTGTTATTAAAAATTTCTTGGATTTAAGATTCAAATATAAAAATTAAAGTGTTAACTACATTGCTATTGGATTTGATCTTGAAACAAGCAGCATATGCTTAAGTCAAAGTTAGAAAGGTGTTTTCAAATGTTACAAGATACTGCAAAAACACATGTTCAGGTGTTTGGTTTAAAAAGGTAGACAGGGATGCTGCCAAACACTGATCTTCTGCAACATCATGGCAAGAGCTTTGTATAACCCTATCTCTGGACTGTTGTTTCCTACACACTTTTGCTTCTCCATTCTCCATAATGTGCAAAGAAAATAGTCTACATTTGGAAATGCTTATACCAAGATAGAAACCTGGGAGTGATCACTAACCGCCCCCACCCTCACCCCCGTATACAAGCTATCATCAAGACGTAATGCTGCTACTTCCTAAATCTCTCTCAAATTTAATTAATTTCTCTTCTCTCCATCCCCATAGCTATGCCACAGCTGAATCCCTCAGTGTCTCATCTGAACTATCACATGTGACACTCAACCAGTGTCTAGTCTCCCTCCTCTCTAATATACATGGCAGCTTCCCAGGATGATCTTTCTAAAACACAGATCTAGCTGGATTACTCTCCTGCTGCAAATCTTTCTGTAGCTCCCCACTGTCCACTGGACAAAGTCCAAATGTCTGCCAAGAAATACAAGATCTTGCGTGGCCTGGCCTCTACCAACTTCCTTAGTCTCATTTCTCACCCTCCCCGCCACCCCACCCCCCACCCCCTGCCCCGTTCATCCTGACCTACATCTATGGAAGTGCTTATCATTCCGGCAATCCCTTCGTGTCTGCTGGTGTCCCTGGCCTATAGCCTTGCTAGGTATGCTTTCCCCCTTTCTTCTACTAAAAATCTCCTAATATCTCCTCTGTGAAGCTTTCCTGACCATTCCTCATCTAAGGGACTTACCACTCTGAATCATAATTACTTGTGTGCATATGTTTTTAACTTATCAGACCGAATCCCCCTTGAAGGCAGGAGCTGGTTCTTAATCATCTTTGTATCCTGAGTGTCTGGCACAATGCTAAAGACAATAGTAAGTACTCAAAAAAAGTTTACTAAATGAACTAAATCAATATTTTTTTTAAATACCAAAAAGAAGAAAACTTTAGTAAATTTGCGCAAAATTAATTTTCTGAAGTGAAAGTGATCAAGTAAAACATCAGAAGATGCAGAAACTTCCAAGCAAGTAAACCAGGGACGACCACCTGATTGGGTCCATGTGAAACTGCAAACCAATGGGTTTTGGAGGGAGTGTTCGCCCTCATTTTGATCTTTTTCCTGGAAATGACTTCTTACTTATATTTGTTTGACACAGTGGAGAAGATTCAGTTTAAAATAGAGTTTTCTTGGTTTTATTATGAAGCTGATCATTTTTTCCGTTCTCAGGTTTTACTTTCTTCTCACAAACTGACAAAAGCTAATCAACACAAAGACACTAGAGTCCTTTCAATTGGGCATCTTGCAGCTCCATTTGTTAATAAAAATTGAGAACACTTGGAAGTACTGAAATTTGCAAATTTATTATTGAAACAGTACTTTAAAATTAGTATGCCAAACATAATAACCTTGTGAGCAAATTTATATACTTTAAAAAAAGACAGTGAATGTCATGTATATACTAATCTCCCCCAAACTTTCCCCTTTAAAGCTATTTTTTTTAATGTTTAATTGTTTTACTCCTTATTCCTCTTCCCCTTACTCTTGTTCCCTACAAAATCAAAAATGTCTGTACACATATCAATCAACATTCTTGTCTTATTAGGCTGGAGCCCGGACCGCTTAAGACCAAAACTCAATTTTATAAATGAGTTCTGGCCCAGAAAAAGCAGCAGCCACTGGGCAAGCTCAGGCCAGCCAGCCAGGCAGCACCCACCTGTAGCCCACTTTGCGGGCATAGTGCAGGCAATTCTCCTTTACGTGGGTCTGGAAGTAGGCAGAGCGACAGAGGGCTCCACACTCCGGACAACAGTAGGGGGACTTGTGGGCGTGGATCCGCTGGTGGGCACAGAAACTGCACTGGTTGGGCAGCAGCATCTGGCACACTTGGCAAGTCTAGGAAAGAACACCAAGAAAGCAGTTCACGCAGGAGCTGCAGGCCTGCAGCTCTCCAGCTGGAGCCGTCTGGCTTTCCTAGGACATAGGTCAGAAAAACCTCCTCCCCCAACCATCCTCTCTTCCAACTCTCCTGTGATACTTGTGACACCCCCAGGCCTCAGTAAGTGTTGACACTGACACCCAAGCTAGCCTTGCTTCTCACTTTATTAATCAGAGACAGATCTGACTGTTTTCCCAAAGATTAGCCCTGCACCTAGGGCTATGAGTGCTTTTTTCCTCTGGCTTAGCAGAAGAGCAAGCTTTCCTTTCCAGAGGCCCAAGGCACTTATTGAATCCTAAGGCTTCACTACACTGCCAGACTCACCAGGGCCTCTTCCCTAGTCCAGCAGAGTCCTACTCAATACCTTTAGTCAGATGGCTCAGGGACTTCCAAAGCAGACGTGAGCCTACCCTGGTTAATACTCCGAAGCTCCAAGGCAGCCTGACTGAGTTTCCATACCCTCAGCCCTGTTTGCCCATTCTAGGGGATGCCCAGATCCACAATTGAACACATGCGCCCACAGAAAAGGGCAGAAGAGGCAGCAGCTCCTTTGTTCTCAGCCCCAGAAGAGAAGCAGAGGATAACAAGTCCTACAGGCTGACTCGCCGAAGCACTCCAACGGCGGGAGTCCAGACAGTCCAGAGGGGGAAGCCAGAGACTGAGCTGGTGTATGCACCTGCGGAGGCCCTTCTTAGTAAAAAGGGACAACTGGACTACTCACTGAGAGGCCAGTGACCTGGGGTCAGAGGAGTGCTCAGAGGGATAAGGTGTTAGGAAGGACAGGAAAAGACCTCTGCTTTAATCAGCAATATCCAGAATGTGGGGCCTCTACAGAACAAACAATCCAGTTTTTTTCAACAAAAAACTTACAAGGGGAAAAAAAAAAAGATAAAGAGGGAAGAGGAATTCACAGATTAAAGAGATTTAAAAGAAATTTTCAATAATTGCAATATATAGCCCTTATTTATATCCTGATTCAAGCAAGCCACGTGTAAAAAGAAATGAGACAATCAGGTATTTGAACACTAACTTAATGATGACAATATTGAAACAGCTGACACTTGATATTAAGACTTGACAAGGAGTTATTATTCATTTTGAGATGAAATGATATTATGTCTGTGTTTTTGGAGGAAAAAAAGTTCATCTTTCAGATAAGCATACTGAAATATAACAGACACTATAGTGCTGGGGTTTGTTTAAAAATAATCTACTAAGGGACAGATGGGTAAGAAAATAGACGAAACAAGATGGGCCACTGAGTTGGTAACTGTTAAAAGAGAGTTCATTATACTGTTCTTTCCACTTTTATATATCTTTGGGACATTCCATAATAAAAAGTTTCGTTGTTGTTGTGGCTTTTAGTCTTGTTCTAGGTGCAGAACAGGAGATAAGCACACCACCTTTTGTGTAATAAAGGAGGGAATAATCACACACACACACACACACACACACACACACACACACTTGCTTACACTTGCCAAAAAGGAGCAATGGAGCAATAAACCAAAGGTAAATAAAAATGGTTACCTATGGGGGAGGAGGAGGGTGAAAAGGTGAACAGGGTGAAAAGGACAGGGATGGAAGCAAGACTTTTCTAGATGTACCTTGTTATATAATTTTAACTTTGGAATCACATAAGTGTTTTACATAATTTAAAATATGTATATAAAATTAAGCTAAATAAACAAAAGCATTCCCTGAAAATTAAAAAAACAGAAACAACCTATGTATCAAGTTGGTGACATAACTATGGAGAAAAAGTGATTCCCAGTGACTTTTAAAACACAGTATTTTGACTTATACATCCTTAATATGATATATTCTAAGGACAAGAAGAACAGCAAGTAAACCCTCAACTTTATGAAGTTGTCCTAATGTTTCAAGTAATATTGGTTTTGGTATTTTGAAATGTGTGTCTATGGGGTGTGTGTGTGTGTGTGTGTGTGTGTGTAGTAGGAAAATCTTAGGAATCAAGATTTTCAGCACAAAATCAGTCACATTAAAACTATAATCTTGTATTTGAATACCACTATAAACTCATGATCTTCCATTCCTCTTGTTAAAAACTTGTATTTCTTAGCTCTGGTGACTGAAAAGGCCTAGAAACAGATATATCTAGTAGAATAAGTATGTCTGGTGCCAGAATGTGCTCTCTAAATATCATTCCTCACAAGAAATGTACCCAGGATATCTTGTTGGGGCTCAGAGTAATTTCTCAAGGCTTAATAAGTTCATGTCAAAAAGAGATAGGAGCCAGCTTGAGGGGGGCTCCCACTGACCAAAGATGGGATAATTTGAGCATCAAAAAGAATGACTAAATACATTAACATACTGAATATATAGAAACCAATTATAACACTAACACTAAAAATAACAGAGGAAGTCCCCTCATACCCATTAGGGATGGCTACAGAAAATAACAAATGTTGGTGAGAAGGTAGAGAAATTGGAACCCCTGAGAACTATTGATGGGAATGTAAAATAGAATAGCTGGTGTGGAAAACAGTATGGGGGTTCCTCAAAAAATTAAAAATAGAATTACTGTATGATCCAGCAATTCTACTTCTAGGTACATACCCAAAAGAATTGATATTGTACAACATGAGGAATATAGCCAATATTTTACAATGCATATAAATGGAGTTTAACCGTTAAAAATTGTGAATCACTATATTGTGCACCTGTAACTAATATTACATAATATTGTACAGCAACCATATTTAATAAAATAAAATATTTGATCACACACACAAACAATTGAAAGCAGGGTCTTGAAAAGATATTTGTACACCATGTTCAAAGCAGCATTACTCATAATACAACTGGAAGCAACCCAAGTGTCCATCAATGAATGAATGGATAAACAAAATGTAGTGTATACAATAATAGAATATTATTCAGCCTTAAAAAGAAAAGAAATTCTGTCAAAGGCTGAGATATACATGAACCTTGAGGACATTATACTAAATGAAATGAGCCAGTCAAGAAGAGAAAACTACTGTATCATTCCATTTATGTGAGGTACCTAGAATAGTTAAATTCATAGAAACAGAAACTAGAGTGGTGGTTGCCAGGGAAAGGGGGAGGGAAGAATAAGGAGTTATTATTTAATGGGTTTAGAGTTTCAGTTTTGCAAGATGAAAAGAGTTCTGGAAATTGATTGCATAACAATATGAATGTACTTAATGCTACTAAACTGTACACTTAAAAAATGGTTAAGATGGTAAACTTTACGTTATGAGTATTTTACCACTGTTTTAAAAAATAATGGAGGAGGTACACTCAAAACACTATTTAAGATTGTTAGGACATTGGCTCTTTTGCCTTCCAAGATGGCCTGCACTCTATCTCTGGAGTGTGTATCTACTTTTACTGTAAACTAAACACACACTTCTCGGTCTCTCTCCCTCCTGCCTTTCTGAGATGGCCCGCATTCTGCCTATGGAATGTGTATCCTCTAAGCCGTTCTCCCTTCTGAGTGAGATAGACCGCATTCTGTCTATGGAGTGTATATCTCTCTAAATACACTTGCTTTCACTTTAAAGGAAAAAAAAAAAAGACTGTTAGGGCATTAACTCACTACTCTGAAAACTGTAAACTAAGGGAAACAAATTTACCCCATTTTCCAACATTAAACTATGTTTCAGGGTAACCTAATAGCCCCTGTGGAAAAGGGAAAGATATTTTATACAGAATTCCAGCTAATAAGTGAGAAAGATATAATAAAATTTAAAACACCCTCCTGCAACTCCTAATAAAATTACAAGCAGCAATTACTAATGGATACTAAAATCATCAGGTAAAAACTAGGAAACTTTATAAGGAAGGGGTCAGAACATCACCAATAGAAACTCACTGATCAAGTTTAGCATCATCAAAACCGAGACAATCAAGCACTTTGTGCCTCCCTGAAGTCATGAATTATGACGAACACAGTATTCCCATTCATCAAGATTGAATCTGAATCTAATCAAGTCTTTATTGCTAATTTCTAGTCTTCAGACAAAATATGGGGTATAGAAGAGCAAACTGATTACAGGAGGAAGCAATCAGTCAAACCCCAAATTATCCTGAGATTCTCCAGAAGCAGTCAAATCCAGAATTGTCCTGAAAAATTCTAAGGACATATGACCTAGTTTCTTCAACAAATCAGTGACGTAGGGGAAAAGGATCGGTGAAGTAGGAAGAGGTACAATTCTAGATTGAGAAATTTAAAAGCTGTAACAAGCAAACACAACATGTGGTCCATGTTTGGATCCTGATTCAAAACAAGCTCAACTATAAAAAGACAATTTTGACATGAAGGGAAATTTTGAATATGGACTTAAATTAGATAATATTAAGGAATTGTTATTAATTTTGTTAGGTGTAATAATGACATTATAGTTAAATAAAAGCTTAAGAACAAGAAGAAATAGTCTCTGTCTGCTGACATCTGCCCAAGAAAGTGTCTTGGAATGTGAGGGGAAGGACCCCTCCAGCAACTACAGAGGGAGGCATATCCTGTTCAGACTCCCAGGAAGAAGTCAAAGGCCCTGATGTGCCATCCTGCAGTCCCTCCCCTAGGGTGGAGCCCAATCTCACCCCATCTGTCCACTGCCTGCCCTAAGAGGGCTTGAAGCCTGGGTACCATCTCGGGAAATCCAAAGCCAACAGCCATCAAGGCTAGATTTTGATCCCAGAAGTCAAGCCTTATCCTTTCCCTGAGACTCTGAGGCCAAATTTATTGGCAGATTTTTGAGGGAATTGAGCTAGACTGAGCGGACCCTGACAGTCT